GGAGGAGGAGGAGGAGGGGAAGCTGTGCCGTGTCGGCTGGAGGGGAGGGTGGAGAACTGGAAGCCTCCGGCTAACGCTGACCTCAAGTCTTCTTATCGGTGGAATGACGAACAGAAGGTGACATGCAATGGTGGTTCCTGTATAGTCTAAGTCTAAGGCTGGTTAAATGCGGTAAATCAGTTGCGAAGGTGCCAGGTATAGGGTCCGCCAAACCCCTTGACACGGTCTCGCACGGGAACCACTGCTACTACAATCAGAGACTGAAGAAACGTGCCACCACTTGACAACCTCTTAATTTTGCTCGAGGCTCTCGTTCCTCATGTGGGGTAACCTTACAGATGCTATATTGGCTGAGTGTAGCACCATGAAGTGTGCGTCGGCTCGGAATATCAATTTCGGTTCGAAATTTGTACTTTTCGCAGCCTGGCGTCCTTAGGGTTTTGGGTTCTGCGGTGGTGGCGCATCTGTTGGGTACTGCATGCGCTCAATAGGCTCGTTTGAAGCTATTTCAACACGAGGGGCGTTGTGCTCGCAAAAACGGAATCGATCGTTCGGAATTCGAGAGCGACGCTGCTGCTGTCCTCAATTCGGTCGCACCGGCTCGGCGATTGAGCGGCAAGCAAACAAGCACAGTCTAGCCTACGAGCGTGTCCCCCACCTCCCTCTAGTGGGAAGGACCCCCTCCTTCTCTTGTCGCAAGTGCTTTCGTGCTTGCTATATTTCGAGCTTTTGTTGTTCCCCTCTTCTGTCGCGTCCTGTCGTCGGGATGCGCAACAGGCGAGCATGGACAGGATTCGACGGTTCACCCGCGGTGGTACTGCGCTCCGCGAGTTAATTCACGCGGAGGTGATCCGCCTCGATATTCTTCGCCACGACCTCTTCTGCTGAGGAAACACGGATATATAAACATGATATTTAATAACAGATGAAGATCACGCGTAGACTATCGGTGAAACAACACGCGTTTCGTTGGAATATCAAGGTGGCATCATCATGTTTCAAACGATGACGACGATGCTTTCGAGTTGCCCCCCTGGGGAATGCGTGCCACAACGATATTCATTCCCAAGAAGTTGTAATTTAGTTTCTGAGCAAGGAGCAACGAGTACATTGATGCGAGTGATGCTTTGTGTGCAGGCAATAGATTGTTGGGACTATTTTTCGCATGATCTAGTGTGTGTGTTGAATTGAGTGGTGTTCCTCGCGTCACTCTTCGAAGCGCTCGAAATACCACTCTCCATGTATCGTAGACCCCATGATCGAGCTTTCCAAAGGAGGGAGCCGTCCGTTCCTCACCTCGTCTCGTTGCAAAGGGATATTATCTGCTTCAGAAATCAACCTCGTTCCTCTGTGTGGGGGCGGGTGGTGCGTCTCCATCCATCCAGCGCTATAGTCCATTGGCCGCTTGAGCGCCAGCCAACATCAATGAGAATGTTTACCCTCTACACGATGTCTGCCACATGACGAGCCATTGGCGTCCGATGGGTAGCTCATGCGGGCGTCCCATGGCCGTTCCATGGGCGTCCAACGACGGTCCATTGGCGGTGGGATGTCCGACGGGTTATAGTCGGCCGGTCCAAGGGGCGGTAGATCAAGAACGACGGCCTACATGATGAGCGGTAGCAGTATAGACCGTCACGACTCATCATGGGGACTTACGACATCGGGCATAGGGGCGGACCAAAGTCCTAAGGCGGGTCGTGTGGTATGTTGGTGGTGGGCCGTCCAATGAGTTTGCCCAGGAGAACGGCCGGCTGGTCGAACTCATGGGACGTCCCACGGGACGACGGCACCGCACGGGCATGCACGGTGGTGGGTGGTATATGTGCGGCTCACGAGACGTTCCATGTTCGGTGATACTGTAGTGCCGCGCGCCCTCTTGAGCGCGTGTGTCATATGATGCTTGATCGTGAGAACCTCTTGAGCGCGTGTGTCATATAATGCTTGGTCGTGAGAGCACCACGTAAGTGCTTGCTCAAGTCAGAATCCTGTACCGGAACCCATGTCAAAGGTCATGTGGGTTATCCTACAGAGGTACTTGTAATAAGAAGGGGCCTCGGGTGATGACATGAGGTTCTCAAAGTTGTGGCGTAAACAATCTGTCGTCGGTTTTGATGCCACGTAAAACAAGAACCTGCGTTCCGATCCCTAATGGGCGCCGTCGACTTATAACTGGGAGTGCGAGCCACGAGCTATCACGCATCCGATCGAAATCTTGTTCCCTCCTCAGCGAAACAATTCTTGGCTCTGCTTGAAATTGTTGTGGAGGCTGTACTGGCTGGCTGTGTGCTGGAAGACGACCAAATGCAGAGTTTCATGGCCAGCGAGAGCGTGTACAGCAGTAGCAGCATCTCTAGCGGCTCGCCAGCTGAGGGTTCATCGCCGATACCAATAAGATGCGCGGCGTAGTTTCAACGTAGACCGACGAAAATACCCTGCAAGAGTTACGTCGTCGATACAGACTCGAAGGTTATCGTTTCGATTTACTCATATTAATACTCAATTTCTGTGCCCGGGCTGTACTCTACCCCTTTTGCCAACAGGGAAACGTCCAACGCATGGAGTGATCCGGCCCTGCCGTCTATACACACCAGAATGACAAAACACAATGAGAAAACACCAATCAGTTGTGGCCACCTTGACCCCCACCCCCTCCAAACATTCCACGCCTCTCAAACACCCCGATGACCGTGCGCCGGTCGTGGCCGCAGGCTAGAATTCGTTCGTGCCCTTCATGATTCACCGTTCGTTCGACATTACTACAGCGGTTCGTGGAATCTCTCAACCAACCTCTGTTGCTTTGAAAGCCTCCCCCCCCTGCGCACCGAGCATCTGCGGGACCCCTTGCTGCTCGACAAGTTGTTCCATGCACTGCTCCAGACGCTAACTACCTCCCGGACGTACAGCGGTTCATACAGCTGCAGGGCACCCAAGACGGTGTACGCGGAAGAAGCAGCAGCAGCAGCAGCAGCAGCAGCAGCAGCAGCAGCAGCAGCAGCAGCAGCAGCAGCAGCAACATACAAATATAAACTATAATATCGGTGAGACAGTACACCGTGTGAAACGTGGAATGGATCGAGCGACACCAACTTCTTTCAATATACCAGGGGAGCGCACCAGTTGCCGTGTGAAACACCACAAAATATCAGACCAAGTGGTCACCTTCACCACCACAACAGCAACAGAAGAAACGACAACAACAAGGAACAGCCTGGACTACCATCAAAAACTTTGGGGGGAAGTGTCCCACCACATACAAAGCCTCTGGCCACATGCGGTCAACCATTTCCTCTGTCCTCTTTAGCATCCGTCCCTTGTACCACCCCTCAACTTGCCCCTCCGACGTCACTACTGCCGCGTGCCTTCACGACTCGTGCATAGCAAAAACGAAGTTCTACGGTGTCACATACATGGCCCAAACCATCAATGAAGCATCAAACCTCACCTAACTAGCGTATTTACTCGCCCTCCCCCCCCCCCCCCCCCCCCCCCCCCCCCCCCCCCCCCCCCCCCCCCCCCCCCNCCCAACCGCGCCGCGGGGCCTCAGCTCGCAGCAAATGACGATGGGTATCGCCGTGCAGACTTCGTCAAAACACATGCCCAAACATCTTAAAAAACTGCGCCTATCTAGTATGCATGCACATACCGCCGCCGCGGAGGTGCGTCCGGGTGGAGAAAAAAAAAAAACCTCGCTAAACGGTCACCAATACTAGTAGTTGGACCGACGACAACCGTAAAAAACACAGCCAACACAACAGACTAAAGAGCATGTTCGCCTGTTCTAGCACGCCTCTCGTTAGCTGGCACTACTGAGCCGCGGGAGGAAAGGCATCAATTTTACCACGGTAATTCCCATCGTCGCGGCAAAACAACCACTGATGAAACCAAAAACGATCGGTGAGACGTTCCGTCGTGTCCTACATGGCTCCCGTTTGCTTGCGTCGTTTCAGCGTCTATATCCCCACCGCTTTTCCCTCTACCGCCTGCTGGGTCACGGTTCCTGTTCACAAATCGGGACCGAAAGCCCCTCCCTTCCCTCAGACCTCGCCTGGCCTTGCCACTCCAATGCTGCAATCAACACACCATCTCATGGGCAAACGTGATTCCCAACTGCTCCCCCAAAACCTAGCCCCCCCCCTATATACACGGATTCCTAGCGGCGTCCCCCCCCCTCCTCTGTTGATTTCTAGCCAACTGACTACACTGATGTAGGATAAAGAAAACAGATTTAGGTGGCGCAGACCAAGCCCGGCTCGCCACTCAACCTAGCTTGTCAGCGTCCCCGGCACTGGTGCTCCTCTTACTCTGCTGGGTGAAAAATAACGGACCAAAGGATCGTTAAAAACCGGACCGGACCGAAAGGTCTGGAATGAGTTGCATCGGCGTAAAACCACGGGTATAAACATCTGCCAGCACAAAATATCACGCCCAGTACCAATCACGTCAACAGTGCTTCGCCCTCAGTGGGTCTTTCGGCCAACCCGTCTCCGCACTATCGTCGGTCTGACCCAGCCTCCTTCACGGAACCCCCCC